CATCTAGTCCCATCCGTCCATTATACAAAGAAATGAAGGCAATGAGACCCAAGAGCTCAGCAGTCAATGGCACAGCCAAGATCAGAATACTGACTTTAGATTTCTGTTTCGTGCCATCTCAACAATGGTACCTTGCCTTTCATATGCAGATATGCAGAATACTCTTTTCTTACATGGATTTTTATTTAAGTAAGATATAATGAATTATACTATTTATTTCTGTGATAAAGCAATTTGATTTTCTTGTCTAGTAAGTTTATTGAAACATTTTTGATAGACGTCCTGCAAAGTATTAATAGCCAAATTTTGGAATCTGATTACTGTGTCATCAAAGAAGGAAGGGAGTGGTTGGGAGTGAGGGTGTTTGTAGGCAAAAAGGGAAAAGGGATTTTAACTTGAAAAGCTTTCTTGAATGACCCTTTTATTCAGAGTCACAGTGGAATACTCAATTTGAAAGGTCATTAATTTTTTTTCTTATGCGGATGAGAGATTCCGCTCAGGGTATGCTATGGTCTGAATGTTTCTATCCTCCAAGTTCATATGTCGAAATCCTAAACTCCAAGGTGATAGTATTAGGAAGGTGAGGTCTCTGGGTAGATGATTAGGTCATGAGAGAGGAGCCCTTATGAATGGGATGAGTGACCTTACAAAAGAGGCCCAAGGGAGCTCATGATCCTTTCCTGCAATGTGAGGACACAGCAAGAAGCCTCAATTCTATGAACCAAGTGGTAGGCCTTCACCAGACACAGAAGTTGCCAGCACCTTGATCTTGGACTTCTCAGCCTCTAGAACTGTGAGAAATAAATTTCTGTTTAAAAGCCACCCAGTTTATGGTATTTTATTATAAAGGCCAGAACAGACTAAGACAGGTGAGTGAGGCATTATTAAGGTTCTAGTTTCTTGCTCATATAGTTAATGGCTGCCCACCCACACTTTGCAAAACTGGCATCAAAGTTACCATTGAATTAGTCATCTCCAGACCACAAATGGACTATTGAAAACAAATAGAAGATTCCAGGTCCTGTTCAGTAATGTCTATAGCTGCGGTCCCCAACCCCCAGGCCATGGACTGGTATTGGTTCGTGGCCTGTTAGGAACCCAGCTGCAGAGCAGGAGGTGAGTGGCTGGTGAGAGACCAAGGCTTCATCTGTATTTACAGCTACTCCCTATTGCTCTGCCTCCCGGCCCCCTCCCCCAGAAAAATTGTCTTCCACGAAACCAATCCCTGCTGCCAAAAATGTTGGGAACCACTGATAGTTACTGAAATGCACTCATATCCCTACTCCAGTGTAGTGTTTTTAATTCCTCAAAATTGTTTTTAATATCTGCTCTTAATCTTTGGGACTTCTGAAAATTTCTATTTTTCAGAGGTCCCATAGGCATAATACTGTATGAGAATGCTCACATCTCTTACATACTGCCTGTAAGAGAACACTCACATCTGCTTCTTTAAGTCTGTCTGCCACAAATCCTTCCAAGTCCTGTGAGTAATGTATCCCTGAGCATGAGGCGGCAAAGGCCTTGGCATCTAGCCTTAAAAGTTTGTCTTGCCATGTTTCTGTCATTCAGAATGGCTGGTGCTCCAGACCCCTCACCTGGAGTTCCAGGACGGGGAAACCATCATGCTGAGGTGCCACGCCTGGAAGAACAGGCCTCTGGGCAAGATCACATTCTTCCAGAATGGAAAATCCAGGAAGTTTTCCTATCGCAATGCCAACTTCTCCATCCCACAAGCAAACCACAGTCACAGTGGTGATTACCACTGCACAGGAACTATAGGACAGATGCTGCGTTCATCCCAGTCTGTGACCATCACTGTCCAAGGTATGGGAACTCTGCTCAGACATAGGGAGGGACGAAGGGGATGAACAAGGGCTAAGGTTGCATGGGCCTAGTTGGAGATCTGAGAGAAGCCACAGCAGCAAAATTGGGCACTGAGGCAAAGAGGAGAGGGGCTGAGGCCTTGCTCAGTATTGGCCAGTGGATGGGATTAGGGGTTGGAGCTTGGAGCCCTCAGCTTCCAGGTGATAGGTGACAAGCCTGTTGTCCCACTTTGCAATGCAGGCCCCGTGCTAAGGACAGCAGTGAGGCTGAGCTCTCCCATTGGCACAGAGGTTCCCTAAGCTCCTGGGCATTCCTAAGAGCTGAGGTTTGCCTCGTTTCTTCTCATGTCCTGTTTTATGAACATTCATTCTGGAAGGCCTGGCGTGTCCTGGACTGTTCAAGGCTGTGCTCGATAGACCAGTGATGCCTCTAGGGATGGGAGGCTTCAGGCCCAGCCTCCTCACTGTCCCTGAGGGCTAAGCGGGACCGTCCCTCTGCTGGCACACACTCCCCAGTGTGCCTTTATTAGCATGGTGGAGAAGCCTGGGTATGAGGGAGGCACAAGTCCAGCCACAGAAATGATGTACAGGTGAGGCTGAGGGGTGAAGTGAGTATTGCACCCCCGAGTGACCCAGACACAGAACAACTCAGGTGACAAGCCCTGGGGGAAGGTGGGGAGGATGGAGGTGGCACAGGGAGAGTACCACCTGTCCTGAGGTCTGTCTTCCCCAGGGCCCAAAGCGAGCAACTCTTCTCCGATGGTGGTAATTGTGGCTGTGGTCACTGGGATTGCTGTAGCGGCCATTGTTGCTGTGGTAGCAGCCTTGACCTACCGCAGGAGAAAGCGGACTTCAGGTTTGTGGCTTCCCTGTACCCCTCTTCTTATTGGTTTCTGCTTGGGTAAGCGCCAATGCCAGATATTTCCAGAAAGTCTATCTTTGGGCTAGAGAATTGCTTATCATTTAGATATAGACCCATATTTCATCCATTCATTCATTTATTAATTCATTCATTCAACAAGACTTGAACAAACTTGCTCATGTGTCAGTGCTAGATGCTGTGGGTGGTACCAAGATAAAGACGTCCAGTCCCTGACCTCAGGAAGTTCTCAGCATTGTGGGGAAGACAGAAGTACATGCAGATCATTATAATAAGGTGGGATAAGAGGAGTGATAGAGAAATGAAAAGGCTATGATGAGGGTACAGAGGAGGCTCCATGGCCCAGCATGGGCTGGGGTGGTTCGAGAAGGTTCCATGGGGGGCAGTGTAGTGTAGTGATGGAAGCACATGTGGTGGGGCCAAACTGCCTGGGTTCAAGTCTCAGCTCCACAGCTCTCCAGCTACCTGACCTTGTTACTCCACCTCTCTGTGCCTCAGTTTCCTCCTCTGGAAATGGGAACACTAACAGGACCCACCTCACAGGGTTGTTATGAGGATGAAAGAGGCTGAAGCTCTTACCCCAGGGCATAGTAGACAGCGACAGCACAGAAGTAGGAGCTGTGGCCATCATGGAGGAGGTGGTGAGTGAGGGCAGCCGTTAGAAAGGCCAAGACGACACTCCAGGCACGGGGCCAAGGCACGGAGTGAGGACTGCTGTGGCTTGGATGAGGGCTGAGAGAAGAGTAAGCCACTGAGGAAGAGAACATAATACTACTAATACCTGCCAGAGTGCAGGGAGATGGCCATGCTCCCAGCAAAAAATTGGTAGGGGTCATCACAAAGGGTAAGAAAATGATAGAAAATGGAAAATAATGGAAATAAAAGAATGCACAGAGACGAAGGTATAGTTTTATAGATTTATAAAGATTATAGGCAAAGCAGGTACTCAGGGGACCTTGGATCTCTCCGTCAATCACAAAAGGCAAAGAGTGAAGTTTTACATGTGCATTTATAGGTACAGTGATCGGTTGCCAGGGGTAACAGATTTACATAACAACAGGTAGTTCCTCGTAGGTTAAAAGTTTTTCAGAAGGCTTCTTCAGATCCCTTAACTAATTCTATCTATGTGAACAAATGGTTACAAAGTCTTTCAAAGACTAACTTCTAAGTTTTAAGGTAAATTTATCACTTAACAGAAGGGTTAAACAGAGATATAATGCTGGGATCACTGAGGGATATATGAGAAGGGGAATTTAGTTGCCTTGTAGATTTGTGTGTGTGTGTGTGTGTGTGTGTGTGTGTGTGTGTGTTTGAATTTAGAATGTGATTTGTTGCAGAATTTGGAGCATAGCAAATAAAGACTTTGTATCTAGGTGATGAGAGAAAAGACTAGATGCATTGTTTCCGACTCCTCCCCAGCTTCCTGAGAAATGCTGATTTGCAGACACTGAGGATGCTTTTGACAGTGGCAAAGTGAATTTATGACAAAAATATGAGGGAATTTGGTGTGTTTTGGATACCAGAGGAAGTACTGGTTGCCTGGCTTTGTTGCTTGCATATTTGCTTCCTTTTTTCCTTCCTCCCTTTCTCTCTCTCTCCTCTTTCTTTCTCATTCTTGCTTTTACTCTCTTTATTTCTCTTTAGTGCCATGGAGTACCAGATTCTTCAAATTTCCATTAAAGTCTCTCTACATTTGAAACACATGGAAATGGCCCTCAGTCTTCTCTTACTAAGTCTGTGGCCAGTAAAAATCTGGACTTGACTTTAATACTGAACATCCTCCACTTCTTTCCTAATATCTCATATCCCCAAAGCTGCCTGGTTTGCTTCTAGGAAAGCTAAACAACCATCTGAAAAAAATATGGCACAAATGACTGCTTCCCTTTGCCTGTGTGGCCAGTGGGCAAGGCTGTGTCTGGGATTCCGCAAGGGTGGGTAAATGAGATCAAATTTACTTAGCTGTTGGCCTGCAGACCCAAGATGGGGTCTTCAGTCCTTGCCTTGAGTCTGATTTGGGCCTTTTGAAGTCTTTTTCATTAGCAGCACAAGTAGGCCCTCTTCTAACCAGTGCCCTGGCTGATCTGGCTTCTTTTCACCCACAGCTGATCCCACTAATCCTAAAAGAGCTGCCAAAGTTAAGGTGAGTGATGCTATTCATCTCTTTTTCCTTCTTCCCCCTTCTCTTCTCCCCTGCTCCCTCTTTTGTTGCCTTTGTTAATGCAAAATTAAAATGGAGACTGAGCCAGAAAAATTCCAGAGCAAACAAAATCAACTAGGCCTTAGAAATAGCCTTAACTTTGCTGAAGCTACAAACATAAGTGAAACTTCACTGGGGTCATAACTATAAACATAGGCAAAATTTAGTTTGAATCATTTCTGGTAAACTCTATGTTAGACAGAAATATAAGACTCAATCCCAGCCAATCATAAGCAGCCAACTAACATATATGTATGTTACTATGGACTTTCTAACAAGGTAACCCCCCCCCCGCAAAAAGACAATTATGTAACCGCAAACCAATCAAATTTCTTTATTTTGCTTCTGAATTTTCCCGATAAATACTTGCCTTTAACATTTTGTCATTAGAACACTACACCTCTTTTGGTTTGGGGTTCCCCAATTCATGAACTTCTTTTTACTTAAACTCTTTAGAATTTTATTGTGCCTCAGATTTGTTCTTTGAAAGTTTGGTGTCAGAAGGGGATCTTAAGCAGATCCTCCCCATAAAGCTCCCAGGAGCAGTAAGTAACCAGGCATAGGTAGGTCCCCACTGAGTCCATTATGCTCACTGCTTTCTCACTGCATTTGTGGGTCCCTGGGTAAGTCCCTCTCAGAGGTCAAGCTCTACAAATTGTGTCCTGAACTCTCTGAGTTTATTTGATTCATTTTATTTCCAACTGGATTCATCAATCTGAATGTTTGACAGGTTATACTGGGTGTTCAATGGGAGCTGGACTAGGCTGGTTTCCAGATTGGGTCTGATTTCTGGATTAGGATCTGGGGCTCAACCTGTGTATTCAGCAGGTTGAACAAGGTGTTCAACAGGAATTGGACTGGGGGTCTAGTTGGAGACCTCAGTAGGTAAATTTTAGAAGGACAGGACATTATGGTTTTGTCAGAATCTAAGGAGTCTGGGATTCCTCTGTCCGGAACACTAGCAATTTTTATGTTCAAATATGGACTCAGAACCTGTGCCTTACGAGAGAAATAGGTGCACCTTACCAGAGATGACTTAATGTTACAGTGGCCACAGTGAAGAAGTTTTAATCTAGACAAAATTGTTCATCTATGGGGTTCATTGGGGAAAAGAGGGGGATCCCAAATACCTTAGAAACAATGAGTTACATCTTTAATTGCTATATAGAGTCTTCCAAAACACAGAATGACTTGGCCAGGCACAGTGGCTCACTCCTGTAATCCTAGCACTCTGGATAGGCCAAGGCAGGAGCATTGCTTGAGGTCAGGAGTTCAAGACCAGCCTGAGCAAGAGCCAGATCCTCTCTCTACTAAAAATAGAAAAAATTAGCCATGTGTGTTGATAAGTCTCAAAAAAAAAAAAAAAAAATGAAATGACTCAAAAAATGGTCTAGTCTCTCTAAAGAAATCTCTACAGCACACTAATGAGAAACACTCTAAACGTCTTTATTTTTATTTGTTATTATTATTTTTTTGAGACAGAGTCTCGCTCTGTCACTCTGACAAGAGTGCTGTGGCGTCGTCATAGCTCACTGCAACCTCAAACTCCTGGGCTCAAGTGACCTTCCTGCCTCAGCTTCCCCAGTAGCTGGGACTACAGGCACAGGACGCCACACCCAGCTAATTTTTTCTGTTTTTAGAAAATAGAAAGGGAGTCTCATTCTTGCTCAGACTGGTGTGAAACTACTGAGCTCAAGCTATTCTCCTACCTCGCTCCGCCTCCCAGAGTGCTAGGATTACAGGCGAGAGCCACCGGCCTTAACTTCTTTAATTTCTTGCTTTTTCCATCTGAACTTCCTTAAAAAAATTAGACCTTCAAATGAGCCAGTAATATTGGTAACAGCTAAATTTAACTCTTGGTATTGCATATAACTCTGAGCTATTATAAAAGCAGCCACTTAAGACTAAAAAGGACAAAGACTTATTGGAAATAGAATGGATTTCTCCTCAGCCAATCTCCTAAAATTGAGTCCACAGTCTCAGTAAGACTGACTCCTGATAATAGATGAGTATGCTCCATAACGCCTTCATGGAGAAACCTTGACATCCTTTCACTGCCTTTTGGGGATGGATAAGTCTTTAAAATGCAATCTTCAGGGAAATGACTCAGCAGAAGGAAAAAAAAAAGGAGGAAGATTTTAGAAATAAACTGGCAAACGAAAAATCTTAAAAGTCCTCTCACAAATGTTAATAAAAAGCTTTAGCCATGCAAACAGCTAAATTTAACTCCCACAAACACTACTCAGATCCAGCTAGTGAGTTTTATATTATTGTACCTAGCACATGGCTAAAATTCCAGAAGAAAAGCCATGAATTTCTGTTTGTATCTGCCTGTATGTTTACACATGTCTACTTATGTGTATGCTAATTATATGTAATATTATTCTACCTCTGGATGGTAGTATTAGAAGCAATATTAAAAGAGCTCTATTTACCCGGCCTAGAGAAAAATAAGCACTTGTGTAAGTTATTTTCTTAGAAAAGAAAGGACTTAATCAAAATGCTTTTCAAGTTCTTATGACTTGAGTAATCTTTAATAAATGAGAATATTGATAATTTAATAAAAATGGAAACGGATTTTATACCTAGCTTTGCTAGTCAAATAAATTCATGTCATCTCTGTTATAAAATTTTATCAACAAAAAATATACCTTGAGATGACAGCTAGTTTTGTTTAATGTTATGTCTGCCTAAAAACAATTTCCAAAATCTTTTTGACAACTTTTTTTTAAGGCAAGCACGAAAATGAAGCTTATTGAGTAGAGAAACATAGGATTATAGGGTAAGAGCAAGATATAGGTTTACAGAGCATGATACATATGCCACAGATGACAACCATATCCATTGTCACAGCAAAGGTAGAGAAAAAGGAAGGGCGCAAAAAGGGGACTTTTTGACAACTTGACACTCAAACTATACTAAGTTAAATTATAAAAAATGATTCATTAACTATTTAGATCATTTCCAAATAAGATAAACTACTAAAACAAAAATGGAACATTTATCTTTTTCTCCCTACCTGTTTGTTCCAGAATTTTGAAACTCAATAGTATTTTTATTTTCAATATGGGTATTTGCATAGGTTCAGTAAGAATCTGTTCTCCTTGTAACAAGACATCATTGGGCAAATCCTGGCTTGGTTTCTAAGCCTAGAGAAGTTTTTAACTTGTAATGAGATTTCTCAATACAAGATAGTTTTTAAAAACTAAGGTTGACTAATACAAAGTCAATAAACCCTCTTGCTAAACCCTTTAGCTCTGACTAAAATATATTATAAAATATATATAGAATTACTGTTCTTGTTACAATTATATAAATAATCAGGCCAAGTTTAATGAAACGAGACTTTTTAAAAAATTTTTTTTTTGAAATAGTCTCGCTCTGTTGCCCAGGCTAGGGTGCCATGGTGTCAGCCTAGCTCACAGCAACCTCAAATTCTTGGGCTCAAGTGACCCTCCTGCCTCAGCCTCCCAAGTAGCTGGGACTATAGGCGCTCACTACTATGCCTGGCTATTTTTTTGTTGTTTCTATTTTTAGTTGGCTGGCTAATTTTTTCTATTTTTAGTAGAGATGGGTGGAGGGGGGTGGGGCGGCAGGGAGCGGTGTCTCACTCTTGCTCAGGCTGGTCTCAAACTCCTCACCTCAAGTGATCCTCCGGCCTCGGCCTCCCAGAGTGCTAGGATTACAG